CAGTGGATAAAAAGATGCAAATTTGGACGGAGGAAAGGCTGGGAGAGAAAATTTCAAAAGTCCCTGACCCCACTGAGGTTACAGTTTGGGAATAACTTTGTCGAGATGTTGACCCCTTTAGTGGTAGAACAGTTCTGTATGGGGCAAACGATATCGATTCTTATGATGGCAAAGTAAACCTTGCGGTTGTTGTAATGCTGTAAATTTTGCACATTTATTGCACCGAATGTTGTTTCTACATGGTTGGTAGCTCAAACGAAGATGACAAAAAAATAAACTGGGTGGGGCATGGCTTGCATGCTAGTTTGGGAGTAAAGAATTTTACATGTTGGTAACAAATTAATAGCGTGATGATAAATACGAACAATTAGAACAGTAATATTTACATACCTGTTGATAGAATCATTTACAGTAACACGGCCAAGATCACACAAACCTTTTCCTGCGTCTTCTTGCTTAATAAACGCCAAACATTTTTTGCTGCACCAGCTGGGACGTAATTTATCCATGTTCATCAAATGCAATTAATTTACATGAAAAGGGTGAACTTTCAAAGGAGATAGAATTACATAATTTATCTGGATATGTATGTCCTTACATCGATTAATATTTGTATAACAGGTGTGTATATGTTGTTAGGGCACAATCATATTTAAATAGCATTTGCATTTCAGGTTAAGAAAAACTTTACAGAACCCTACATACATATTAGCTTAAAGTGAACAATGCACAGGTTTATTCACAACGCACATCAGTTCGTGGATAGATATGTATGTAAATTTATATACTTATTTAAATATAGAATTCTATTCGTATTCTATATTCATTTAGATATGTATGTATGTAATCCGCCTTTATGGGGCATCTGTTCAATTATTTAAATTTATTAAGTTCTTACTGAAATTTTGTTTACATAATTTATGTGTACTCCTTTGTAACCATAATTTACGTATAATTTTCATCGTCTCTTTTCATGAGTTCGCCAATGAATCTCTATTCTTATACGAAACATAAATGTATGTAAGTATGTATGTAGTTACCCATCAATTTGAATACAAGAAACTTATGTACGTATGGATTTTTCTAGCATATTAGATTCCATTTCTGAATCATTTCAAATATTCCTCGCGAAGAACGATGGGAGGCTACTGTCAATTTTTGCTGTCCCTTTTTCTCCTACTTTGCACATCTGCTAATCCGTTCGAATTTTCGTGGTATCCTGCATTTCCAGAGATTTGTTCCCTTCACGTGCTAAGATCTGGGAGAAGGTCTTCCGATATATCGCTCTCCACACCCCTTCAAATAGACGACTTGACCCATAAGTTGTCTCAACTTGAATCAGAAGCTGTGGTCAAATACCGTATAACACGTCGCAGTGATCCCTGCTTGATCTATTTAATAGTGTCTCCGGATGATGTCCAGGGATCCATTGGGGTCCTTAAGTATCTTCAGAGTTCCGATTTTCTGATAGAAAATCCTGCCTATGTAATCTTTAGAGTCTTAAAAGTACAAATGCAATTCGTTCCAAAATTCTTAGCGACTTTGCGATTTATTCATACAACTTCAAAATACATTGTGGTGACGGAGGAGAGTAAAATGCTGACCATTGTCTGCCTGCACTGTCGCTATGAGAACACCTTAAGAATACAATTGAATACCGAAGACACTAGATTACGGCATAAGATCGATACTATTTGGCGAGTAATGCATTCTACCCTTAACGGATCGTTAGTCCAAGTAATGCAACCTTTTCTGCTGCATTCTTCCCTGCAAGATAAAAGTGTGAGGTGTAACTCCCTCCGAGATTTTCGGGGGGACCCGCGTCTCTGCATTGTCAACTTGCTTGCGGAGAGGCTCGATTTTCGTATTTTTTTCAACCCGGATAGAGAAACGAAGCTGGCGGGAAAACTGTTTGAAAAGCTGATGGAGGATGACGGTGCTCTTGATGGGGTAGTTTCAAATGAGATTGATAATTGGCAGGTTACCCAGTAAGATTGTAAATATTTGTGATAGAAAATCATGCCCACTTGATTGCTGATAATAGAAATCTCACTGCGAATGGTCTCAGATTTTGATTAAACTAAGTCAATTGATCATAAATTTAACCATTTTTGAATTTGCAAGAGACGCTATCTGCCAGTGGTCACGATTGGCAGAGATATTTGCATCCGAAGCGAAAGAAACGTGAGGCGATTTTGGAAAGTGTACAACTTCTCGACTTTTGCTAGTCCCAGGATTAAAGTATTCCCTCCAAACCCGAGCATTAGGAAATCGAGTCTATTGTAAATTTCAAACTAATTAAAATTACAATCAATTGGCACTAATTTAATCAAAATTGGAGAGCATACGATGGTAGAACTGATTTTTAAAAACAATTTTGTCTAATTGTAGTTTATACGAAAGCTATGCTGATTTGGACCAAGAACGCATGACCTACGTGCCACAAGGTTGGTTGACCGATCGTCTCAGTTTTGTCCTGGTTTTGGACAAGTGGTTCCTCATGAAGTCTGCCCTACTTGAGCCGTACGATGACACCGCTTGGATTCTCATTCTGGTCGCGATTCCAGTCGTGAGCATGATCCTTGCAGTGTGTCTAATTTTGAGCGCGACTATTAAAAATGAACAAAAAGCGGGGACTTCGTGGTTTCGACTCTTGGTGGAAGGTGTCTACCTCACCATTCACCTCGTGCTTATGGTGCTAGGAGCAATCATTGAGCAAAACCCGAAAGAAAAAACATGCAAAAAAGTTGTGACCTCGTTTCGCATCCTTTTCGGGACCTGGTTGCTGACCACGTTAGTCATCAGTAATGGATACACGGGGATCATTATTTCCTTCTTGTGTTCAACCATCGTGCCAAAAGATTTGCCGAAAGATTTCAAGAGGTGAGTTGAAAGACGGTTCTATTTTCCATTCTACATATCAAAATATATATCAAAATCATACATGCTCAAAACATTAGTTTTCATTCAAAAGTCAATCCTGATTTATAACTGATGATTTTCATTTAAATGCATTTCATTTCACTTCATCGGACTTCATTTTTTATTTCGCCCCATGCATTATGCATAGTGTTAAAAATGAAGGAAGTGGAAATCCCTTCATTCACAATCATTCATGAATCATTCAGATGAATCTGAATGAGGGAACCCTTCATTCATTTTCATTTAATATCAATTAATTTTCATTTTCATTCAAATCACAGGAAATTCATCTTCATTCACTATCATAATCAGTTAAATGAATGAAAGCGAACAGGTTTGATCAAAAGTACTAAACTATATTTTTACAGTCTATTAAACACATCGCTACAGTTGATATCTTGCGACGAGATTTTTGTACCACCTCTTGGAAAAATGTTACACTTCTCGGAAGCCCTCATGCTACAATATTGGCTTGGAATGGGACGACCAGAAAGTGACTTTCTTGGTTATCAACATCAATACATATTAATCCATAGGAAAACAATGTACATGAAAAACATGTCCCAAGCCAAGCTAGCATACATTTACGACGAACGACTTTCCATTCCGACCGAACTGGTGAGAGTTGGGTACCAGGGAACTTATCCATCTAGCAGATGGCGGCCGGAAGTAAATTTTGCATACATTTCAAGACAATCGGCGACTGAGCGGTTTGCCAATTTGGTTGAGAAAATGGGTTCACATGCACTAATCTGGCTTCCTAACGAGAATGGGGAGATTCTTGCAATCCAAGGTGAGTTATTACATATATTCTTAGAAATCTGGTATTAAAATAATACCGAGGGGTGTTCATATATGATCCACCAGTGTAGTATTTATAAATATTACCATGTGTTTAGTAATTGCTCGGTATTAATGTTTTACCATACTGTGGCAAATTTTCACCGCGGACCTTTAACATCAAGAAATAAATATCTACGAGACTATCCCAGATTTCTAACAGCGTAGGCTTAGGGCAATTAAACAATGGTGGCGGGATGTTTCAAATTTTAACTCTTATTTTCCCCCATAGCGACATACTCCACAGTCCGCAACTACTTTTCCGTCTTTGTGCACCGATACCTTCATCTAATTGTGGAAGCTGGTCTACCCGAAATTTGGGAAAGGAAAGAAAAAGAGCTACAAACTTATCATGATATGGATTCCTTCGAGTGTTGGCAGGGGTCGGAGCCAAGCCAAGTTTGGGAAGGGGGTAAAGAATGTCAGTATCAGAATGGGACTTCGACCAGACGTCGGGTCAACAATGTTGACGAAAATCGACAGGCACTTGACTTAAACGTGTTAACTTCGTCGTTTCTTCTTTTACTTTTGGGTATTGGTCTTGCCGGTGCATTTCTTCTGGCGGAAATGTGTAGTGGGGCCTTATCCCGGATTACGTCGTCTAATCCCAAGGTTTCGTCGAAGAGATGTCGTCGAACGTACCGGATCATATAACAATTGCTTTTTGAGAAAGTCAAAACCTAAACAGAAATAGATTAATAATCCATAACTAATCTGATATCGAATATAAAATTCCACATTTATTTATTCTATGATTCACCCTATGTAGTCTACTAGTGATAAATGGAATTGTGATTTTTCGTAGTTCTGAAATTCAAATTGTATTGTATAATCTAAGAAAATGTGTAAATATGTATGTACAAAAGTGTGTATGTAAATATTCAAACCTCGTAATACCCAAACTGTGCTTAAAAAATCCGCGATTGACAGATGTAAACTCGCCCAAAACGAAACCACTATCGGCGAAACCTATCAGCTAAATGTGTAAGCAAAATTTGTCTGCATTATAAAATGAATGCATTTTTTAATTCTGTGCATAATTGGAGTTATTTTCGCGTAATAATAAACAAATTCAAGCGAACTACGATATCGTATACCACAAGTGTGACAAAAGAAATTACTGAAATAAGTTTAATACGTTTGTTTTGCTTGTAAGGTTTATGGAGTTGATTCATTCTGAATGAGTCAGACAAACTTTCGACTTTATTTACTTGTGTGGTCAACCACAAATACATACATATATTCATTTTACCCTTGATGAATTTCATGGAATTAATTAACATAACGAATTCACCAGTTGGGCTGCAATATTTATTTAGTTATGGTTTAAACTATTTATAAATCTAGTCCTGTATACGCTTGCTTTACATACACTAGGTAAGTTACGAATACTTATATTTTTACTGGTTTTCTTTGTACATTACATATGTAAATATGTATTTAGTAGTTTTTGAAGTATTGAATGTTTTATATTTCTTTAATTATATCAATATATTCGAAAAATATGTGAAAATCTAAAATTTTAATATATATTGTTCGCATCGCATGCCCCCATCGTAACATAAATAATTTAGAAAAACGCGAACCTAAATAGTAGCCATGGAGGTGCAATAAATTTGCAACAATTTTTTTGCGAACTCTTTTTTTTCCTGTCGTTGTGAACTCATAGTGACTTATTTCCAGTCCTATAAAATCTAAATTGTGCAATTTTCTCTCACGGAGAAATTCTGAGAAAAATGTGTATAAAATTCTGATTTCCATGCTGACGTTTTTTAACTTCAATTTTCCAGACATGATGGCAAAAGAGATAGAAAAGGATAACATATATTCGAACGTGTATTGTCTCAGCCGCTTCAACACAGCCTTCATTAAGCAATTTGAACTAGCTGTGAAGGATTATAAAAAATCAATTCAACCCGGCAGAGAAAAGTATGTGAAGAAAAGTACGCTTGTCCACGGAATCGGGACAGGGATTGGAGGTACATACATAGATTATTTGTGACGTACTTTTTGTCTTTCTAAATTTCCAATGAAGGTTTTCATTGAGTGTTTCTTGAAGAAACTTTCACTGTCTTTAGTATCGTAAAATAGCTCACAGTTCAAAAAGTGGGTCAAGCCTCGTGAAATTAATGATCGTACAGTTGGGGAAGCAAACCATGTTCAGTCCGGAATATGTTCTGATCATCTCCATTTGAAATATCAACCCTTTACAAACAACATTCTGTACGGCACTTTCGCAAGACTCAGCATATTAGCGGCTCGCGAAAAGGCTAAATTTTTCGGTAGAATATGTCTCCATTCCTCCATTCGTATTCCGCCGGAAAATCGAGCGTATTCGGATCTTGCGGCGCCAATACAGAACACGCTGAATTATTCGCATCTACGCGATTTCCGCATTGAATGTACATATTTCTAAAGAGTTGGTCTTCGAAAGGAGATTGTGAGAAATATTGTCGGCTGAACATGGGTCGCGTCCTCAATTCCTCATTGTGCGTAACATGATTTCTTATGACAAAATCTTACGACGCTTACAAAATCTCACAACCTTCGTAAATAATCTTATTAACGATAGGAAGATTACTATTTACCATCGATAAAGATGAAAAATAAAGATGAAAAATATAATTAATACCCTTATTAATTTGTACTACTTTTTACAGGCATTCTGGGTGGCATCATTGGCATATGTTTTGAAATGGGACCTATCGCTGCAAGTAGCAGAATGGCAGGAAATTATTTCCATAACAAATTTCAATTTCGCGAAAAGGCGAAAAAAATCGTTGCAACGCTTCAAAATTCGGATTCTAGTAAAGAAACATTTTACGACGTCCAACAGCAACGCCAAAATCTGTATAAAATTTTAATTCAAGGTGCCACCGAAATATTTGTAGCATTCGAAGAAATATTTATGGCGGTGGCACAACACGATTTGCGTGACTTGCACAAAATCGTGCATGATGCAGTTTGTCGTATTTTCCATTATCTGAGTCACTCTGACCTTCAAGAATTTTCATCTCAATCAATTTGGAAAGGAGTTTTAGAAGGAACATCAAAATTCAGTACGCTTGGAAAAGCTACCAAATTAAAGGCAAGAGGACATAAAATCTACATTGTAAAGAAAACAGACGTCAAACCTGCCGATGTAAAATCTATTAAGAAAAACTTTCTCCAAAAGTTGAAATTAAGCAAAATTTCGAAAGGAATCACCCAGAAAGTGTATTCTCAACTAAAACTCCCCCGAAATAAGAACGCTGTTAAGATTAATTCTTCCGATTTGTTCAATTTCTCCGGTGTCTTATTTCTCACTGACAATAATCCGTTAAGAAAGCGGACTATTTATGCTAAAGATGAAGACAAACTTGACTTGTATGGATGTCGTCTTTCGTTTGAGGGAGAAAGTAGCGAATATTTGGAACGGTTAGGGTACAAGTCACTGGATGACCGGTTTGACGACAAATATGGTGAGAAGAGAATCAACGAGGTACAATTGGACGAAGTAAATGAGAAGGTTAGCAATATATTTAATACGTGTACACTCTTAGAAATGCAGTATTAAAACAATGCCTCTACCAAAATGGTATATTAATAAGCGATACCATGTAGTAACTTTGTACTAAAGTTTTACCATACGGGTGGTAACAAATTTTTTCGAACCGGTACAAGTTTTTATACCCAGACGTAGTAACTTCAACCGTTTCGTTTTTCTCGCTGACATAAATTTGGTAAATCTTTGCAGATTCTTAATGATTTGGAAGAAGACTGGAAAAAATTGCAAAATGATATTTCCGTGGTCCACCAAGAAGTACAGAATGTAGGGAACGTTCTTTACGACAAAGTTGAGAACATAGCTCAAATCATTCGACAAGCAAAGACTAAAGAAGAAATTAATTTTTTACCTTATCCAAAACCTGATAAAAATTTCACTGGCAGGACTGAGCTTATGGACAAAATTATCAATTCTTTTACATCATGGAGCAATAATTCTAATCATCAGATTGGATTCCCGCTCGTCGATCTCCACGGTCTTGGAGGGCATGGAAAGACACAAACTGCACAAAATATCGCGGAGCGTTGCCTTAAAGATAACCTTCTTAGGATTAGTGGCGTTATCTGGATTGATGCCGAAGAACAATCTGGAATAGTGGCTAAAATCAGGAGGGAATTAGAAAATCAAGAAATTCAAAACCTGCCAGAAAATGATGGCATATTACTTGCCAGTAAACTTTACGATTTCATAATTACCAAGAGTCCGCAAAAAATTCTAGTCATATTTGACAATGTGGAAGGATTTGAAGAAATAGAGAAGTATTTACCATTCAACAAAAATGTGGATAATATTGCCGTACTAATTACATCCGTAGAGAAGATTATAATTCCAACTGGAATGGGAGAAATTGACACTTTTAACATGGACATTCTTGAAGAAGGTGAAGCTAAGGAGTTGGCAGTTAAAATACTGAATGGTAAGTACAAATTTAAAGCAACGAGTGAAGAATTAATAGCGATTGATGTCAAGGAATTTTGTTTGAAAACTATTGAGGGTATTCACATCAACTTTGTAAACGTCGCTTCGCAACTTTCAAAATCAAAATCCTTTATTTTTTTTATAAAATATGCTACATGAAATGGAGTATATTACATATTTTGGCCGTAAATTACGGATGTGCGTCTAGCGCATAGAACCTATCGAAAAAGCAGTGAGGTTCCGAATGTGAATTTTAAAACAAAATTATGTTGAATTTTTAGGCAAACTTATGTTGACTTTAACAAAATATTCCGCTAACTCCGCAACGTGACTAAAATGTTGGCATTTTGAAGTGATAAATATAAATTAATAATTTACTCTCGTTAACTCGCGCTTAAAAAATTTGCATTTTGAATTTTTGATTAATTTTATTAATAATTGCAGTTGATGACACGGACCCTGACATTTCCCTTCTTGTCTCCGAGTCTGGACGAATCCCTATAGTTCTCTGCTTCATGGCGAGAACTATTGCTAGCGTTAAGAACCTCGGACGCCTTTCATACACTATCACTCAGTTTCTTCAAGAAATGAAGGATACATCAAAAATACTACGGTATCCAAATGATCCCAACATCAAAGATAACCTGAACCTGCAATACAAGAAAAGTTTGTACACTTGTGTCAAAATTGCTGTGGAAAAATTGCAAGAATCCAACCATTTGTATGCTCCCATCGCAATTCATATTATTGAAATTTGTCCCTATTTCAGTAATCATTGTCCCCTCGGTTATTTCCTGAATCATGTCTCAACTATCAAACGGGATATTAGGGAAATTTCAAACGCATCTTTGATCCCCCTCAAACCAATTGAAGTTTTGAAAAACGCAATCCAGCTCCTTTCGTCCTTCTCCTTAGTCAACTATAAACTTGATACACATTCCAAATTTGGGGTTGAGGTAGAAATCCATCGCCTGGTTCAAACTACGGTAGGACTAATACAAGAAGATGAAAAACGAGATCACGACATATTGGAGGACCTCATTGGCTGTGGGGATTATCCAAGATCCGAGTTTAGCGATGTGGAAGTGGGTAAAATTGACGAAGCATTTTTTCACTCCGGTTCAATCGCCATTCTTTGGTCACACACAGTAAAGTTTGAGGACCTAATCAGGTTAGTAAATTTGTCCCAGTCTCAATCGCAATGTGATGGGGTGTAGGACAACATTCCGGTTTTCCGAAAATTTTGGAATTGTCAAGTTCACTTTTCTTGAGGCTGTTTAGTGTTTGTAACATTGTCAGAATTTATCAAAATATTTTAGGTAAGAGTTATGTATAAAACATGGCGATTTTTTATCAAGCGGGGTAGCAAACTCGAGTTTGATTGGTAAAAATCGGCAATTTTGCATCTTTGACCTCCAATACCATCGCACAACCTGCGTCAAAAAACTTTAGTTGAACTGGCTGGAACTTGGTACAGACATATATAAGTCCAAAATTTCAACAAAAGCCGGAGTGTTGCACTTGAAACCATCACGTTATGAGATAGGTTTTGTACAAAAAAAACTAACTTAAAGTTTCAAATCTCTCCAGAAAATACTTCATGGAGAAGGCATCCCTGAAAAAAATGATTGACCACGGATTTTTCCACGAAATCGGAAAACTTATCCAAATACTCGGAGGAAAAAATTTAACCAAGAAAATACTTCAGTTCGAACCTGATCAAGCGGTTGCAAGATTACCCATTCAAAATGCATTCCAATCAGCTTTAACAGATGATTTTAACGGACTTGGGCTACATTTTATACAAATACTTAAAGATAAGCGAACTGATATTTGCGACACACTTTGGACCGGAGGGATAACAAGCACAGTGAAATTTTGCATAAAAGGATTGAACCTAGCCGTGGTGACTGCATTAGTAGAAGAATTCTCCTTAGACGAGGACTTTTTATCACGTAAAAATGACGAAAATCAAACTCTACTCATGCTTGCGATAATTTGCGGAAAAATGGACATTGCAAAATATTTGCTGGACAAAAATACGAATCCATTTGTTAAGGGATATCATGGACATACAGCCTTACATTTTTTGGCACGTGGATTCTGGAAACGAGATGCAGAAATAACGAATCTCTTAGTAACTCAAATTGTCTCAAAATATCCGACATTAATATACGAAAAAGATGACGATGGAAGATTACCTTTCATGTTAGCGGCAAAATCTGGATATAAAAGTGTCCTCACTTTTCTACTTGAAAGCATGACAGATCCAAAGACTCATATTGATTGTCTCGATAATATGGGACATACCGCGTTGATGCTGGCCATTCAAAATAAACGGTTCAAACTTATTCCAGATGCCATACAGGTTTTGCTGAAGTACGGAGCAGATATTCATTACAGAAACCCTCTCAGCTTATGGACTGCATGGCACTATGCATTTTGTCCCGAGTTTTGTTACCAAAACGACAAGATATCCGGATTGAACGATGTTCTCAAAATACTAGTTGAAAATAAGGTTTCGCCAGATTTGCCAGATGAAAATGGTGACACATTTCTTCATTTGATGATGAAGTATAAGCTGAGTTATTTTTACATATCAAGTAGTGACAAAATTTTGGAATTCATAGCCGCAAATAACTTGTGCAGAATATTTGATTGCAAAGATGCCGATGGTCTGACAATTTTAGAGTTGGCTGAGAGCATGAAGATTTCTGGGGGTTATAATAACGAATACTCGGAAGAAAAAGTGTTTTACATGGACGTTATTATTGATTTTATTAAGAATTTAAAAAGTAAGCGAGCCTAAAATAACTGAAAGTTTTAGGACAAGAAAACACTTAAAATATGCAAACTGTTTATGTATGATGAATTGATGGGAGTTTTGGTTATATTTTTGCGAATCGCTGGACTATACATACATACATATGTACGTAAGTGTGACAAAACAAATTACGTAATCCCTGATGAGTCATTTATGTATCACGGTTTCATACGTACGTAAGCACGTGTGCGTATGTGTATATGTATGTATGTATGTACGTGGTTGTTTACACATTCACAACTTCGGATTAGTACATATATGGGTTTATTTACACTCTAAACAAAATTGAGTAAAAAAGAGGATGACACAACAGTCGAGGTAAGATTTGTCCAAAATTGAGTAAAATTTGCCCAACGTTGTGCGAACAAGGTGCATCATCATCATAATTTTACTCAATGTTGGACAAATTTTACCTCGACTGTTGTGTCATCCTCTTTTTTACTCAAGGTTGGGCAAATTTAGTACAACTTTTTTTTAGAGTGTATTTATGTACTAATTTATGTATGACATCTTATTTTAATTTGCGGTTACTAACCTCAATCAATACTACTTCCTTAAAGTATCTATTTAATAAAACGCTAAATTTTATAAGCTCAGAATTAGTTTGCCGTCAATTCTTTGCATTACATAAACATGTCTTACTAAATCCCAATTCATAAAAAGATAATGGCATTTCATTTGATTACGTTTTTCCAAGTAGTCATTACCATTCTACAAATTAATAATGGAATGGGGAATGTGATAAAGTGTGAAAAATTTGAAGATAAAAGAAGTCCAATTAACGGGAAGGATCAGGATTCAAGTTGGATAAATATTCCTCCACATTTGGTCTCAACGGTGGAGGAATTGAAATATTTCAGGTGATTTCAGACCAAACCTATTCAATCTAACTCCATAAATCATGCACTCTGTTAGAAATATATGGTATACTCAGGCAGGTGCTGATTTCTCGGTATTAAAGTTGTTACTGCTGGGAATTAAAATTATACCTGTCCTCAAAAATCTGCTACCGATATGGTAAAACTTTACTAGTCATCTCGTATACATATACATGGTATTACATATCAATACCAATTGGTACAGTCATACATATATGGACACCGCTTGGTATTATTTTAATAACGCATTTCCAACAGATAATTTATTAGACAACTTTAGATGTGAATGAAGTATTTTTAAACATTTAAGTAGCACCATTTTCCAGGGATAGTGAACAATTTTGGGAAAAAGTTATTTCACAACTTTTTAACGTTACTATTTTTTACACGTTTTTCTTGTTATTCTTAGGTGAGGCAAAAGTAGACATGGGTACCCGCAAAAAAGCGTAACCATGGTTACGGCGAAGCCTAAGTATGCTTTCGTATACACCCTTTGAAACTGTCAGCGAGGGTAGAGCCTAAACGGTTAATCATACGCAAATGGTGTTAAGAGCAATCGTGCAGAGGAGAATTAGGAGATGATGTTTTTCAATATGCCCAATAGAAAAGTTTTATCCTTGGCTCTCAAATTTCGATTTGGAACTTTAAAATCAAAATTTGAGATACTTGCACCAAAGAACTATATGCATAAAATATGATTTTATCATGCAGAAATCGATTGAGCATCATTCAAAACAAACCCGACTGAAATCGGTCCAAAACTGAAAAAGTTTTGATGGAGGCATCTGAAGCTATGAGTTGTCCCCATATTGTAAGTGTCAAGGTTCCCTCTATTGGTTCACCCAGTTAAAAATGAATTTCGCACATGAAAAATCATAAAAATTGGCAAATTTGATAAGCTTTCTAAAACTGAAGACAGAATTTGATTATCTCTTTTCGTTCAAAAATGACAGCACAAAATCTAGAGGAAGTGGAATAATTAGTTTGCCACTCGGTCAAAAAATAGTATTTCTCGGATCGGAAAAGAGCACATCACCACTTCATTGTTCAAGGGATAGGCCGGACAAAATCAGTCATACATTAGACATATCTAAGAATCGTGAAAATGCAAATTATAAAATTTGGCCTTGTCAACCTGTCCGCCAGGACACTAATATACTCACGCGAAACGTGAAAAAATCTTTTTGATGCAGCCCCAACTTATCCATGAGGCTTGCACCCAGACAACTAAAAATTTCAAAAACCTATCTTCGCAGGATCAATGCCAATAAGATGGGCTTCAAAACGTACAACACTAAAACCGCGCCAAAGTACAATCAAGATAAAAAAGGAGGAGTCAAAGCTATTTGTGAAAAACTTGTCGAGAAAATGTTAAAAACTGACACCCCGAAGTTTGATGTCATGAATTGTTAAAACTACGACCCCGTTGACCTCGAAGCATCAATCGTGTAAAGTTCTGCTCATGTGGAAGTAAGAATGACGTTCGTTTGAAATTTCAATTCAAAACCAAGCAAAATTTACGACGATATACATAAAATGGCTGCGGATCGATAACAATTGGAGCGTCTCAAATCGATTCGCCTCTACCAAGAATTTGAACTTTTGGATTTATTTCAAAGAGTGTATCACCAGGAGATTGACCCCCTCTATCAAAAACAAACACGTTTTATTTTTCCCTGGCATGGGTACGTACCAGAATGCCAAAACAGTGACCAGGTACCTCGAAGGGAAAAAAGTTGATTTTGTCGATAAAATAGACAAGGCTCAAAAAGTACCTCAGTGTCGACCTATTAAAAAAAATTGGGCATTACTTAAGAAATAATACTGTCATTAAAAAATGATATCACTAAATTTGTAAGAATTTCATCGGGTAATGAAGAAAACCATCATAGAAGTTGACGAAACGAGTGGCGAAGCGCTCATGAGAGAGGTGTGCGACAAAATCGTCTCTCCACTGGTACGGAAGGGGTATTTGCACAACTGAAGGATTAAAAATCTTCGGTATGCTCATCGTTAGTATTCAACAAAAGTTTCATTTGATTTGATTCATGCATTCATTTTCTGCAGGTCAAAATAGACTGACACTTTCAATAAGGGGACAGTTAATATTTATGTTGGGTCAAATTTATTGTGCCCAAAAAAATAATATTTTGTTCCAAGGAAAATTAATAATTTTCTGCAATCATGAAATCTGCAATCGAGTTAATTTTTTTCTCCAAAGAAAATATAAAACATTCCAAAGAAATAGTAAAATATTCAATGATGAATAATTCGACTTTTGTTGAATAATTTGGTTATCAGACAAGCCTACATTTGCATGCTATGCAAATGTAGACACCCCGTCTTTGACGCCGGGGAGACAAATATGCAAACGACATTTATGCAGCGACAAACATGCAACCGACCAATATACAACCCGACAAATATGCACCCAGACGAATATGCAGCAGACAAATATGCAACCGATAGATATATTTTTCATATCTAATAGTCAATGTATTTAGTCAAAAATAATTTCAGCACGACAAATTCAAGCACTGTAAACAAAACTCGGCAAAATTAAAAATCTCAGCATAGTAAAAATATCAGTCAAAAATACTAACAAGACCTATAGTGCAGACTCCATATAGCCTGAGTCAGGGACTCTGTCCTTGACTCGGTGAGTCAGAGTTCTAAATTTTTGTCGGAATTGGCCGACATCATATTACCAAACTCCCTGTTGTGGATAATTAAACGTTTGTTAGATTTTCTATTACTTGGCATCAAATCCTTTAACAGCTTGAAATTCCAAAGCTGTGTGCTCTCTAGAAGTGGGTTTTATCCCCCATAGTAAATTTCAGCTTGAAGTAACAACAATTAAAAACGGTATGGGTCAGCCTCCAGGGTCATTCTGGTTGCAATTTGCTCCCTTTTAACGTCATATTCTTTCAAATTTCATGTTTTAAAGCAATTTCTAAAACTCGGTTTGGGTCACCTCATACCGATTTTTAGGGTCGCTCCAGATAAAAACCACCTCTCAAAAAGCAAAAACCTATCCTTAAGTGGAAGAGGACAAAAACTATTAATGCCTTGGCCGAGGCAAAACTTTATAGCTTTACTTCAAGCTGTACTTGTCCTGTTTTTAAGAAAGAGTACATTTGCAAGCACATAGTTGGCATTGCAATTATCAGGGAAAAAATCACTGTCCCCGATAATCTGAAAACAGATAGTGTAGGAGCAAAACCTAAACCTGGGAGGAAGAAGTTAGTTGGAAAGGCTTTAATCATTGACTAATATTTACTTGAAATTTAATTTCAATTATCTACGATATATATTGTAAATCTGGTATTTTATGCATTGAGATTTTTATTATTTGTTTGAAATTTATTCTAAAAATCTTGGAATAAAAAAATAATCAATTGCATGATCTATAATTGGAACAAAATATTAATTTTCTTTGGATAAAAACATATTTTTCTTGGGTGGTTTAATTGGCACCCCTAAGCATTCTTCATTAGAATTACAATACTCCAAGGTAGTTGTTACTAGCTACCAATATAATTTTCTAAAATAGTGTGTTTACGAAATTGCCATATTTGGCCAGTGAATGAATTAGAGGGAAATTAATTTTACGACCTCCTGCGGGTATTTTCAACTAATTTTGTAACGAAATATAAAATCAAATGTCTTCATTTCAAAAAGCTGACAATATTTAAAAAATAGTGTAACAATTTTGAGGAGTGCAAATAATTGTCTCAAAATGTATATCACCTAAAATCCATGAAATAAAATAATTTTTAAAAAACATGCTTAGGCGAGGCGCTGCTAAAAGTGAAAAACAAGGCCTCTGGGCATATTTTTTAAGTATCTCGTACCTTTATCTTTGTAACAGGAGTTGGTGGCTTTGCATCACCGCGAGGTCAAACATTTTACGCTAAGCTGTTAGCAAATAATAATCTATTCGCGAGAACTCGCAAGAACAAAATCTGAGTTCTCAAAATTATCGCTTATCTCCTTATTTATGCGTCGGAATTTTAATTTCTTCAAATACAAACCCGTCAAAATAGTGCCACGCAGTATCCCCCCACGAAATTAGGAAATATTCAATAATTATACCAGTCTCCTGAGACAAACGGTTATTTTAAATCGCTAATATTTCATTATCAATTACCTTTGACTTCCTTACACAGGTCGTCAAAACAGTAATTGTGAATGCAAACCGTGGGTCTACAATTTAAGGAACGAAATCCTATACCTAAATGTACGAACGCAAACAACATTTTTGAAATAAAGCAAACGTAGTTGAAGTGGCGTGCACGGAAAATTGTGCACATCAAATTCTATTAGTTACCAGAATTACTGGTTAACTAGTGAATTAAATTATGATCTATTTAAATAAACATTAGTAATCATATTGGTCCTCTGCAATAGTTTTTGCAAACTCCACTCAATTTTATAACCCTTTCGAAGGAATATTCGTTTATTTTAATTAGCAAGAATTGAATTTTTTAGCAGCAAATTTTTATTTGTGTTGCTACTCGCTTTTGTAATAAACGGACCGTGGTATATTACACGGTCAATATGTTTGGCCTCGCGGTGATACAAAACCACCAACTCCTGTTACAAAGATAAAGGTACGAGATAATTAAAAAATATGCCCAGAGGCCTTGTTTTTCACTTTTAGCAGCGCCTCGCCTAAGCATGTTTTTTAAAAATTATTTTATTTTCAGTATCCATAAATATAATTCATCTTACATAAGAAAATGCGAAACCCATTCAGATCGGATCCTGCTTCCTCTCGATCCGGAAGGGTATAACTTGACTGAAGCCAAGGAGAAACAGAGACGGCGATGGTACGAGTATCCCATGTGGGAGGAACAAAGACCAACCACTAAATTCACATTTAATGGATTATTAGAAAACAAGGGACAATTGCTGTCACATAAATTCTATTGTCTGGCAAGGTATGTACATACAGTATAACAAATCTATAAATATGAAATAATGAGATATCATGTGCTCACCTTAAGCTAAAATTTTAAAGAAAAATTGCAGCTTAAAGTTTAGCACAATTCCCCTATCCCTGATTTAAATTTGCCCGATTTTATGCAGAAATTTAGCATAATTTTCTGTAAACAAAGCAATTTAAAAAAATAAGGCTTATGCGTAAAAATAAGAAAGTGCTGCCACTCCAAAATTTTCAAAGTTAATTGTTTTTTTTTCTCCCCGGAAATTTTGAAGTAAAACGTTTGCAAATGGTTTGCAGAATGAAATCCATAGAAATTTTCTGCATCATCATGCAAAAAAATGTAGAATTTAATATGCATCAAGGTCTATGGATTACTGCAAAATTCGACACAGTAGTTTCTAGTCAGGCTACTTTAAAATCGATTTTGAGAAATTATGGAGTAATTTCGTATTTTTATATTTTTTGCGCGGATCATAAATATGTAGGTCTAATTATTGATCATATGTACCAATAGTGAATTTTAATTATTTTTAATATCAGGCTCATTCCATTTGTAAGCAACACGTTTGATCGAGTCCCAGGAAATAGAGGTGCTAAACCCTGCTCGCTGGTGGTGGCTGCCTGACCATGTATTTTCCTCTCTTTGATATGAGAACACCACACAACTTATGCTTTGTCAATGTTCCCGGCCACGTAGGAACACAGAATTATTTACTACTGTCTACGCAAGCAGCCCATGTTAATTTTACCTTTTCGAAAAATCGCCAAAACTCCAAGACGGACAAAAATCGCGTGGGGTTTTAAACTTTTTTATTTCCTTAGGCCCAAAGGCATCGATTGGCTTATCTCTCTATGAGCGATTCTTGTCCGTCTTCTCGATAATCGAGTTTTTCAATACATTATAAATTTCTGATTTTTTTGAATATTTGAATTTTTGAAAATTTTTCCTATCAATGAATGATCAATGAATGAAATCTGTAAATGTAACCTACCCCTTGAACCAACACTTTGGCGACGAAAGCATTTTCAATGCACTGCTATATCTTTGCGAAAAAAATTAATTTTCAAATTTTGATTTTTATGATATGTTTTATTTTATATTATGCATCTATGATAAGATTGTGGACAAGATATCAAATATGGGTGCGACGACGATCGTGTGGGTTCAGATGGAATGAGCCATCATCCCCCCTTCAGCATTTCAGATAGCCACATTGAACTTGAAATCTGTCCGATCAACTGCAACAATTATCCATCTTCTAAAACCATTTGCATCCCGACATGTTGTGGAATCAATGCATTCTTTGACTATTGGAATAACACGTGTCATCAGAGATTAGGAATTCCTACGTCGAATTACGTTGGCCTCTACAAATCTCCAGAGGAAGAGTATAATGTTCAAGATCAAGAAAACGATCTGGATTTGGTGTTTCTACGCAGAAATCTGAAACAAAATTGTACAAAAATTGGGAAGTATCCGTACACAACAGTTGTCGAGAATGAGAAGGACCCCGCAGGTAGAAGGGACGTTGGGTTTCTGTGAGTAGCTAACTTTTTTGCAAAATTTCTTCATTTATATACATTTATTTATTGCGGAAACTATCCATTAAGGTTACATAGGGTGACGATTTGAATGACATAGATTTTTAACCTCACTCCACCCCGATTTAATGTCTTTCAATGCAAATTTGTAAAATTGAAACAATTTCATGAGTTTTCTAATAAATGCAACTTTTCATGCTTTAATGTAAAGTTAATTTTTGGCACTTAAAAACTATGGATTTGGAATAAATTAGCGAATTACTTAATTGTTTGCGAAATTATCGTGAGAAAATGACAAATAAGTTAGCAATGTTAGTGAAAGTTTTATAGTATCAGAAATCAGTTTGACATTACTGATAAAGTATGCATTTATCTCACAACTCATAAGATTGGTTAGGTTAGTGTCGAATTAGAAATTTCGTTTTACAAACAATGGGTAGGGTGAGAGTAAAAACCTATAAAGGAATTATTCCACCTTAAGCAATAAATTCAATCAAGTATCAAGATCTATTTTTTCATAAGGAAACGGTATTTGGTGGACGGACGAATGATGCGTCAGACGGAGGATGGCAAAACCTGGGTTGAGATGGAGCTGCCCCCAGAGAAATTTTGTATTCAGCGCATGTCCGTGTATGACCTTCCTTGGGATGTGGACCGGGAATTGTATCAAGTGCTTTTCGTCTGCGATGATACCAAAACCAAATCTAGCGGATGTTTTACTTTATTAAGTGGTCACCAATATATTTTATTTTTGATATTAGTCATAAAAATTCTTGAACAACACATGTGAACGAATTGATTTTTAATAATATATTATATATATATATATATATATATATAAGTGCAATAACTTAGATTACACTATTAAAAATATTGCAAAGTTTCCAAAAAAATTGAACATTTCGACACTTTCCTTACACAATATGTACAAACTAACTTAAAACTTCTACCGATAAAGTAACCATAGCTACCGCAATAATTGTGCCACATAAGCCTAACACATAAAAAAGCGCGGGAAAAGCTTCCGCCTGCTTAGTATATATTTGAACGTTTGCGTCTTTAAAGTCTGAACAAAATTTAAGAAATAACTTTGTGGTCAAATTTTGTCCAAAATATTGCATAAAAAGTAACTGCATCCTCATAGTTTCGAGTGTTTCCCATCTCCCAGATAGTCCTGATTCCGTCAATCTCATAATACCCCTGGATATTATGCGCGAAATATAATTGTTGCTGCCATACGTAACCGTATAAAACTGGAAGGGTACGTCGTCCTGCAGGCTGTCGAGGACTAACCGCTTCCCAATTATTTTTATTGACGAGGTAAATCGGATTAGGACATCTTCCTGGTCAACAATTGCAAACGTGAGATGCGTCGGAATTTCAGCATCTTTGGTCGAAATGATTTCCGAGTTGGAAATATTACTCGCAATCGCGATCAAATTATACGTTATGGGCGAAACGTAGATAAATCGGGAAACAAAGGTTGACAGAAAGGTGGCGAATTTATTACCGCCTGTTGACAAGTCTGCCCTAATGGATTTCAGTAGCGGTGGTAGGAGAAATTTTATGAGGGGCCCATACTTTCCGGGCCCCGTGGAAATCGTGCTACTTGTAATTATTGTGATATTTGATTTGGCTAAATCTTCCAAACTTTTAGGAACGGTGGGAAAAGGTGTAACCGTCAAATCGGACGTGATTGAGCCCTGGTACAAGTTTTGCATGAGGATGTAACACCCAAAAAACCAGACGGTCAGAATGGGAACAGCTTTTCTCTCCTTTTGTAACGATTTCACGATGTTACCACCAGTCTGGCTGAGTAAAATTGATGTAAATGTTATCAAATCACGGAGAAATACAATGGCACTATATTCTGCCCTGTTTTTAGGGAGATTGCGCACAGGTTGAATTACAAGAGTTATTACGATACAAAAAGCGAGGATTAGAGCCCACGTCGGGACATCAAATGGGGCAAAAACGTTTCCAAAACTACTCTCTGCCGTGGGAAACTGAGTGACTATGGAAAATCTGAACTTTGTAAAAGACAGACTGAAGAATTTTTGTTCATTGGTGTAAAACTTGGTAATGGTATCCGAGCCCAGGACGAAATTCATCCCAATATAGGCACTTATCGGGTCAGAACTTTTTAAATGTTTTTTATGCACCGTGGTGAAGTTATTCTTCCTTCCGATCACGTAACTCGTACAGTAAGATAAAGATTCCCAGACCGTATATTTACTCAGGCTCGGTCCACAAGAGGCATTTTTAAAAGTGACAGCGTCTTGAACGACGTAACTTGTCATGAAAATATTTCCATGCATGTTCATCTCGTTTTGTGAGTGCCAAATTGAGTTGATCGTCTCCAGGGAAAGAAGAGAATACGTTTTTATGAAGGTGCCACGTGGTGAATTTTGACAGGGAAGACACGGGATGAAGATGCCATCTTCCTTGAAAAAGATTATTTTAGATGATCTAATAACGCTGGGGAGGTTATTATCGTAGCGAAGAGATTTTGGCATTAAGACAAAAATGTATTTAGTTTTTGATGTTGGGAGTACAGTTGAAAATAGTAATGAGAGCTTGGAAATGAATAATATTTCGGAACGGGGAGAACTTTCGATAAGTTTTTTCTTTAAGCTATTTGGCACCGAAGGTTCTATATTTTTGATAAGTTTGGGACTGTGATCGAACGAGAGGTGTATGAAATTTTTTACTAGTTGTTCCCAATTGTTGTCTGAGTTGTCAAGGATGACATGGAGGTCGAACTTATCTACAGCCACACTTGCCATGGCTGATATGGTGTAACAAAGTATAATCGAAGTGAATAAGGGATTCATTCCTGCTTTTTTATGTCGTTTTTCCCACTTTAACAGGAGTCTAATGCCGGTAAATTCTAGATAATTTCAAGACTGCGGTACCGTAGTTATGCAAGTTTGAAAATGACGTAAAACTGGAACAAGTTAGGATATGTACATATTTAAGACGGGATTAAATAAGAAATAAACATGGCAATTTTGACATGTATGATGAAACACTGCACTTCGTCGTCATATGTAGTAATGACTGATTTGGTAAACCAACTTAGCGCATTAACTCTTCTAAAAATGTATTTATCGATAGCGTGATAACCACTTTCACAACTTTTGGATCAGATATGTGTCCAAGTTCCTATTACGTGATGAAACCCAACTAACGGAGTAGAACAATTGTCGTCATCTATCTGAACTTTGGATACAGGGGGACAATTGTTTTGTTTTGTTCAGAACAATTCGGATTCTTAAGTACAGAGTAAGAATTAAATGATTCGACAAGCAGATCCGCCGACTATTTCAAAAGTAGAAATACTCTATTGCATTATGTGCCCCACATGAAAAGAATTAAAACTGAACAATTTTTCGCGGACCAAAATTTTCCCTGGGGGGTTATGAGAATTATGAGAGATTAATATGATGCACATAAGGCACAACATATCTATGGAATGGGTTGATGAAATTTCAAAAACAAAATTTGTTTACACTCTCTGGATCAGTACCCCGATAGGTTTTTCGAACTTAGGTGGAATTCCGACTTTGAGGGGTTTTTCACCGCGACGCGTCGCGACGCAAAATTGACTCAAAAATTAGTTTTTCGCATTGACGAAAAAGTATGACGAAATGTTCATAAGTTAGCTTATCACCAATTTTTATTACGTTGCAAATTATTAGTAGTAGAATAAAGGTTAAGTTACCCAGAAAGTCGAACTCGACCTGCGTGACCTTTTTCGGGGATCGAAAGGTCACAATGTCAAAGGTCACATAGTCCCAAAAATGGGATATCGTTGGAAAGGTATTGGCGAGAGGAATCAGAATATGTATACTTTGTGGGGTCTGAAATCACTCCCCGCAAAACTAGAGCCAGAAGAATATTTTCGAGTTTTTCCCATGCATGCTTCTGTGTTAGTTCCCAATCCACTGCTGTGTTAAATTCTGGACAACTGCCGATTTTCGTTCTTTGGCCTCTAGACTTGTAGGGAGTGGTCTCAGACCCCATAAAGTATACATATTCTGATTCCTCTCGCCAATACCTTTCCAACGATATCCCATTTTTGGGACTATGTGACCTTTGACATTGTGACCTTTCGATCCCCGAAAAAGGTCACGCAGGTCGATTTCGACTTTCTGAGTAATTTAACCTTTATTCTACTACTAATAATTTGCAACATAATAAAAATTGGTGAAAAGCTAACTTATGAACATTTCGTCATACTTTTTCGTCAATGCGAAAAACTAATTTCTGACTCAATTTTGCGTCGCTGTGAAAAACCCCTCAAAGTCGGAATTCCACCTCAGTTCGAAAAACCTATCGGGGTCCTGATCCAGAGAGTGTAAAAAAATTTTGTTTTTGAAATTTCATAGATATGTTGTGCCTTATGTGCATCACATTAATCTCTCATAATTCTCATAACCCCCAAGGGAAAATTTTGGCCCGCGAAAAATTGTTCAGTTTTAATTCTTTTCATGTGGGCAACATAATGCAGTAGAGTATTCGTACTTTTGAAATAGTGGGCGGATCTGCTTGTCGAATCATTTAATTCTTACTGTACAGTAACTCTTTACTTATTGTTAGTTTGGAATATCAGTGACATAGGGCATGAAGTAAGAAAAAGTCGGATATTTATACATATTCAATTGTGTACATATTTGGATATGTTGTATGCATGTTTTTATTTAATAGTTTCCTATTTTCGCATCTATTGTTCATGAAAAATGCTATTTTAACAACAAATTATTATACCTGCTGGTCTGGTATCCTTCGAATTACATTTCTAAAGATAATGAAGAGTCCCAAACGATACAAAATTGGCGTCATAAAATAAAATGTAATAAATGAGTATTTAGGACATAAAAAGTATGCAATGTATGACCCTGTATCTCGCCCTTACGGTCATGGGCTGGTCCGAGGTGTTGATTTCGTGGCGAAATTTCCTTTAAAATGAGACCCCATATGAAAATTAAGGTAAAACTTAATGTTGAACCACATATCTTGGCGTTATGGGGGGTACTCCGATTGGAGCGGTTGTTAGATAAAAGCTGAAAATTATATCGTAAAAATTAATAATTATTAAAAGTTAAATCGTAAAAATTCCAAGCAATATGGCGCAAACAGAGTTTGATTATGCTGAGGCGTTCTGAAGATATCATGATGCTTACCGACGGACGGACAAAATGATCACAGTAAGCGGCTAATATTTATCATTTAGTAAAAGTATATAAATATCTTTACTAACTTCCCAATACAGGGTTTGGCACGTACGTGGATACGAATTTGACCTTGAATAACCCCGGAACGGTTTGTCGCAGCGGATCAAAATTTTGAACAGACGATCATGTTATCCTCAGCAAGTTTTGCGCAAAAATTCAACTCTCTACTTTCGAAAATGCCTCCCCCACAGCCCCCAGAAGTTAAGACAGTCATTTTAACTTTTTCCAAAGTCCATCTAAAAAATTCGGTCTCCGCAGGAAAAAAATTCTTTTCAAGTAACCGAACCCAAAAAAGTTGAAACCTCTCTCCCTTCACTGGGTGGCTCAGTCCCAATGTCCCCTTACTCTACTACCCTGTTGACCCAGTCCTCGCTCGCCCTATGACCCTTGATGCTGATGATGATGATGTGATGATGATAAGATGACTATGATGGCAGCGGGTATGGCCTGGTAATAAGTGCTGGCTGGAGGATGGAGAAGGTTGTTATTCGTCCGAAGGTCGATTTATTACTGACTGTCATTTAGAAATGTACACGACTTTATATTTTACAAATGTCTACAAAATAACTCCGCCTTCAATGCCACATCACTACTTCTTCACTTATGCACGTAGATGCATTGCTCCTTCCCAGAGGGAGCACACGAGCGAGTATGGGTTGAGTGGTTACAAAGTCCATTTAACTTACATCGGGGGATTGTTGAGGTATTTCACTATTCAAAATGATTTTTATCTCCAATCTAGCTTCAAGGTCCTTTGCATAATCTTGGGTCAACTTTGCCGTCTGGGAAGACGCTCCGTCATGATGAAAAATCACCTTATTTATTTTTTTGCCGCGCAGTTTGGGAAAATGGTATTCTAAAAGTGGTCTCAATACACCGTCCACATAATACTTCGAAGATTCCTTCACTTTTTGGGAGACTTTGATAAGTGGGAGGACACACGACCCGACATTGCACCCACGACCATAAACTGTTTAAAAAAGTTCTCCTTACAAAGAAGCACCAACTTGAGTGAATAGTTTTCGGCAGTTGTCGTGTAGTAAGCTGTTTGAACCCAATTAATAACTTGTACAGAAAATAGTGCTTCGTCCAATGTCACCAATAACTCACTCTTATTCCTTAACAGAGAATTTGAATAATTTTTTTTGTAAACACGGGCGCGATTTTTTTCCTGTTTTTCGGTCAGCTGATGCACACGAGTTTTCCGACCAAGTCGTTTCTTCAAAATCTTAATTCTTCTTTTCACTCAACGCATACACACCCCAACCTTACGGGAAATTTCCTTTTGGGTCGGTGGATTGTCTTTGGAGGTCAATAGGTCAATTTTCCTAAGCACGGTCGGAATTAACACTATTTTTGCCTTCTTTCAGGGGGTGGTTGTTGCCCTTTACTCAAAATTTATCACTTTTCACCTATATTTTTCAATACCTTATTGATTGTAGATTTCGAAACTGTTTTCCATTCACTTTTGAAATGCTTAGTAATTCGGTTGTATGAGTATTTAAGTTTGGAAACAGTAAAAATGAGTGTTTCACCTTCTGGGGGCTGTGGGGGAGGCATTTTTGAAAGTAGAGAGTTGAATTTTTGCACACAACTATCTGAGGATAATATGCTCGTCTGTTCAAAATTTTGACCCGCTGCGACAAACCGTTCTGGGGTTATTCAAGGTCAAATTCGTATCCACGTAAGTGCCAAACCCTTCTGTATAAATTATTGAAAATATCGTCGTACTACTTAAGGGAAGACATATGTATGCACAAATATAATATAACACGATACATATTTATGTACATGCTATATTTGGGCAAAATATTTTTGCGCTGTACGTGTATATAAATACAACATGCAGTGTATGACATACATACATATGTACATATGAGACACAAGTCTCTCATAATGATTTTTTTAGAAAAGTTAGACATAAAAATACTTAAATGTGTGCAAAATTGCTATTTATACTATTACTAACGTATAAGCCCGTCTCCCGCGGGCACGAGCTTATTTGATGGTCATGAAAATAAAATTGAGTGGAATTCTGGAAAACTCCAACCAATTAAATATTTTAATCTATATAATAATCTCAAATTCTGTCACCGACGGAAGTCAAAGGAATTTGTGAAGAACGTGAAATTGATGGTATGAGTTGATGATGAAAGTTGATGGTAGGAAAATTAAAATATTTAAGAAATCTAAGCAATGCTCATGGCATACTGTATAGTCTTATTTGGTAATAAATATTTGGTCACAACGAATGGATCCAAGGAAAATCAACATCAAATTGTTATACCCGATTCAAAATCTGTTAACAAAGACACGTTTGACGTGTTCGACATATGTCACATTTGACTTGGTCCACACGGTTACTGGTGTGTGGCATGTCAAAGCGTGTATGATATTATACTCGTGCTCATATTTCAAAATCTCTGCCAGTAGAAGATTTGACTAATTCATCTGAGGCCTCATTCCCTTCGCGAAAGGAATGGAATTCTGATTCGATTCTTAAATCCACGTAGTCTGCACATGAAGGGAATGGAGTGTGTTCCTTATGTAACGCTGCAGTGAGAGCTGGTTATGAGTCTTGACAAAATATGAAATAGCTACTTAATCTGAAGTATATCTAACGGAAAGGGGAATCCTATCCATTTCCCTTCGTGCCAAGATGTCACTACTTCGTCTGAAGTACATCTAACGGGAAGGGAATTCCGTTCCCTTTCCTTTCCCTTCATGCAAAGATGTCACTACTTCGTCTGAAGTATATCCTACTGGAAGAGGGAAGGAACGGAACCCTTCACCATTCACTTCACTGCGGCTCCAGCCCGCATACCCCCAACTGTTTTATAACCACATCCCAATGGGGCAAAACCAAACAGAGGTAGTAGCCATCTAGGTGCGCGACCCCACAAACAGATCACACCCAACACTGGGGGTGTAACGACTTCGATATGCAAACTCCTCCACTAATATCCGGCATCCCCTATTCCTTTCAGCATAGCGATAACTGTATAGTCCACACATGAAGGGAACGGAATTCCATCCCCCTTCCCTTGATGTGAAGATAGATTTCACTACTGCGTCTGAAGTATATCCAAGGGGAATGGAAGAGGAAGGGAATTCCATTCCTTTATGTGTACGCGAAGCAAATATATTTTGTAATTTAAACAATCCAATATAAATATGGTTGACCCATGAATGGAACGGAATCCGTTCTCCCTCCCGTCATCCAGGCATATTGAAATATATATCTCAGGTTTGGGAACGGGCTAGAACGGAACGGTATGCAGCTTAAATATCCGGAACAAAGGAATAACTAATGTCCCTACGGTAACATTTTACACCTTTCATTGGGTTAATAGGCAAATTTCCATGACAATGTCTAGCATACCCATTCCCCCAAGAGCGATAGCCATACCCCAGGGGGCACACCCTCTAAATCCTCCCATCCGAACGATAACCATATCCCAGTGGGCCACACCCTCCCACTCCCCCACGCAGATCCCAGGGGGGGGCAAACCCTCCCAATCCCCCCAGCGACCAGATAACCACAATTAAGAGTTTGTGTTACCTTCCCTTACTGATAACCATCAAGCTAAGGATAACTAACTTATCGATTTTCAAACCGCTTGCACCAACGCAGCTGATATGCAAATCACTTTCTCCACTTTCACTTCCGTTGCAGAAAGACATTTCCAGCTTATAATATAGATGTATGTATATAGTGCTTGACAAGCACTGCTTGTGGAAGTGTTAAAACTTTTACACGACCAAGTATGTACATATGTACATAAGTACGTATAATAAACATCAATTATGAATTCTTTTCATGCACGAAATTATGTACGCTGTAATTTCCCATACCCGTCAACTCAAGTACATACATATTGTTATAGGTGTTAGTCATCGGTTATTCTGGTTGGGTATAGTCATTCTCACTGTACTTAATATCTAAATATGCACTCGTACACTCAAACACCCGATACAATGACATATTTATTTATACTCTTTACACGTAGTAATTTCGAACCTGATTGCTAGTAGTTTATTTTTAATTGGTAAATTTTTCTATGCCAAAACATTACCAGACTGTAATGCTCGATGATACCATGCCGGTAGGGTAATACTTATACATATTTATGTATGTGTGTATGTGCTCTGGCCAGTAATGATTCAATGCCAGTTTCCAGTTGGTTTATGTACATATGACGGACATCGTAATATTAATAGGTTTACGGAGCCGTTAATACATGCATATCGTATCTTATTCGTAATTAAGACACATTCTCTTTGCTTTGCCCGTCATGCCGTGGTGACCTACACACACAATGCCCCTCGTTAGTCGTTACACACAGTCCAATTATTTGCTCATTATTTCATTCCCAGCATTGTGATCTAACAATGGAGGTCTCCCAACGTATGCTCACAGATTTTGACCAAACTAGTGTCAATCGATCACAAATATAATTAGTATAAAATTTGCAAATGGAACTATCTGCCAATATGCAGGTTTGGCGGAGATATTTGCATTCAAAGCAGAAAAAATGCGCAGGAAATTTGGAAAATGAAAAATATGCCTGCCTTTTGGTGCGTTTTCTCTTCTTTTTATGCAAATATCTCCGCCAAACCTGCGTATTGGCAGATAGTTCCATTTGCAAATTTCATACTAATTATATTTGTGATCGATTGACACTAATTTCGTCCAAATCTGTGAGCATACGTTGGGAGACCTCCATTGTAAGTTAACATGCTGACAACCGTGCAAAATTGCCGTCGTTCTTTACATATATACCACCACGGTGGAGGGGTTACGAAATTAAATGATTGATATAAAACTGGTCCATGATTTTTTATAGGAATGCATGCAACCAAATACGGTATCCTTTGTCTTTTTGCATTTGGTACCTTTAATGAGTTAACTTACTTATCTATTAATTAACATCGCCTCGCCATCAGAGTTAATAAAAGACGAGTTTTTGGAAATGAATTCCAGTCTATGTGTTATACAAGTCTTGCCGTGTCGCAAATCTCAGTTTCGACAGTAAGCTCGAGTAACAGAAAGAAAATTTATTACCAAAATTCGTTTACTGCTCAGTCCGTGCAATCGTTATTCAAGTTAGCGTTACTGTTTGGGCATAAAATTAGAAATTTAAAACAATTTTGAAAAACATTAATTTAAATTTAGTTTAAAATTCAATATTTTTGTGATACCTGTGCAACCTATGTATGAATGTGCACATTGCAGCTTAATATTTGTCTAGCATCATGGACAACGTGGGATACACGTGCAATGGAGATATGTCGGAAGCATGTGTAAGAAGCAATTTTTAACTGCTAAATTAGTACATGTACATATCTATGCAAATACTGATATCATTGCTAATTTTTGATTTGTCTTTACTTAAGGAGGATTACAAAGAACCGAATGGAGTGAGAAATTGTCAAGATGAGAGAAATCATGTCACGCTTGAATTTCATAAGCAAAGCCCTACTGCCCCATTAGAAAAGGTGGAATTGGACGTAAACCCATTGCTTTATGGGATGGATGATAAACCACCATGGTACATGTGCTTAACGTTGGGATTGCAGGTGAATACATAGATAAGGAAATTTATGGCAATTTTGAAAACGTACGAAAAAGTTGCACGTGTTGGGTATGACATACATACGTCATATTCCGCTCATATGTAAATATGTGCATGCATAACTCCATGCATGCAAACGTGTGAACAAACACAAAGGAATTGACTTGTACAGTTTTCCACATTTGATACGGTTTGCACAATAATTAAATTTTTAATTACTTTAATGACACCATATTCTTGTGAATTAAGCGAATTTCGAGTGAACAACTGGACGCACAATTAAAACAATTACGCTACCAAGGTTTAGACTGTAAGGAGACATTTCTGGACCGCATATATAGTTTTCTAATTGAGGGGCTAATTTATCCCTATTTACTTGAGTTATCTTAACTAAAATATTTTTATCCCTAAATATGGAAAAATAAAAAAATGCACATGTAATTGTAACAATGAACCTGCGTATCCAGGTCATACATAACTTTGCAACTTTGGACCCCAAACTTTAAAAATTGTACAAATCGAAAATATCCAATAACTTTTTTTACCTATTTCCGATATTAAAACTTCCCTAACCAAACTTCCGAAAATTTTTTAAAATTTTTGATAAATTCTTCGAAATGTGTGCAGGATAGCGCCGGAAAGCTGGACAAAATAAAGTTATACTTTTTTTCTCGAATTTCCACTTTTGTTTTCTTCGTAAAAAACTGTATTTTTAAAATGATTGAATTTTTTGCAGCATTATTTGGAAATGATCGGCGCCACGGTAGCGTGTCCGGTTATCTTGGCTCCGGCACTTTGCATGGTGGACGACGACCCCGATAAGGCCAACCTTATCTCCACCCTCGTCTTCATGTCGGGCATTATCACCATTTTGCAAACCACACTGGGAACCCGGCTCCCCATCGTGCAGGGGGGCTCGGCTTCCTACCTGCTGCCCTCCCTCGCCATCATGAACCTCCCCCAGTGGAAATGCCCAGAAAACATCGACGGGATGGGGGACGAAGAGCGGCGCGAGTTGTGGCAAATTAGAATGCGCGAAATTCAAGGCGCCATCATTTTCGCGGCCATGTTCGAAATGGTTTTCGCCTTTACGGGTGGGTTATAACTAAAAATTGTTACGATTTTTTACCACACGGGGGTAAAAATATGTGATACGAAATTGTTACCAGTGTGATACAACCAAGTGTGATTTATCAAAAACCATTGCCAAATTTCTTAAAATTGAGCAAAGCATTCTTATTCTGATCCATTTTCAACTATTTGAAAAAAACTTATTTTATGTATTTATGTATGTATCTATCCGAAAATGGGGAAATTTACGTAATACATTATAATTTTCTTAATTTGTTTAAACTTAAAAGTTTTACCTTTAAGTTTTACTTTAAAATTTTTCAAAATTTTACAAATATTTCTAAAAAAAATTACTTTGAAAATGTTTGCCAACTTGTTCAGATCAGAGATATCTTTTTATGAATTTGGTAAAAGTTTGTACAATTATTTTAACAAGTTTACGCACTTTATAAGTTACAAATTGCAACTTTAACTTTCTAAATTAGTTTTTTTAATAAATATAAAAATGTTGATAATTCTTAAAAATATTTATGCAAAATTAATTGATTAATTGTTTTTCTAGGTGTCATTGGATATCTTACAAAATTTATAACGCCACTTACCGTAGCTCCGGCAATTGGGATGATTGGATTGTCATTTTTTAAACATGTGACCGTACAAATTGAGAAAAATCCTGGTGTAGGATTTTCGTAAGACATTGCACCAATTTAGAAATGTGCATTTTTATAGCATTTTGTCATAAATTTTTAGAATGTTGGGGCTGTTGATATTGTTTTCGCAACATTTGAAAGAAATCAAGGTGTGGTTACCGTTCGGGAAAAGGGATGCAAAAGGGAGGCGCAAAAAGTTTCCATTGTTCCAAATATATCCGGTAGGTTTGCCGATATGACGTGAATAAATATGTACATACATATTGTTAAAATTTTACAAATTTCTGTCATAGCCATGACAGTTAAAAGGCCATTCACGAAGTCCTTCGTAAAATCTAGATACATACATAATTGAAAAAATTACAAATATTTCTGAGGAAAATTAGCTTACCAGTTTTTATGAATATGCTCAGATTAAGCGTAGCTTTACATCACTGGATAATTTATCAACAAAATCTCTCACAATGCAAGTCTTTTACGTGTACAACTCAGATCTGGTTGGGACCAATTTTATTTGTTCACCATAAAAAATAAGCATACCTGTATTTCTTCATTTTTCATAAGGATCTAATTTGAGCGCGAGGCGTGAATTTTAAAACATTTTTCAGCCAAAACCCCGGTTTTTAAAAATTCTGTAAATTTTCGAATTTTGGCGCGAATCCAAAAATTCGAAAACATGTCTCTTCAGAATGACTAACCTGACTTATGAAAAATCCAATTGTCTCGAAATTTGAATTTCAAAATTTTTTGCCAGTTTTTGAAATGCATTAAAATTATAAACTCTTACAAGTTTTTAATTTTTCAAAAAATAATTCATGTGGATTTTTTACACGTCAAGTAAGTCATTCTGAAGAGACATGTTTTCGAATTTTTGGATTTGCGCTACCATTCGAAAATTTATGGCATTTTTAAAAACCGAGGTTTTGGCTGAAAAATGTTTTAAAATTCGCGCCACGCGCTCAAATTAGCGAACTATGAAAAATGAAAAAATACGGGTATGCTTATTTTTTGTGGTGAACAAAATAAAATTGGTCCCAACCAGATCTGAGTTGTACACGTAAAAGACTTGCATTGTCAGTTTTTGAATTGAAACATCAATAAAAATGTATGCAATTTTACAAAACTTGTGAGACTTTCAAGCTACGCAGAGGGCCGTGAAAATTGTTTTTTTTTGTAAAATTCTCAGAATTACAAACCCCCTTGTAAATTGGGGCAGAAATTATCTATGTATATAAGATTTATTGAAAATTTTGCGATTTAAATGATCACATTTCTGTCTCAGGTCCTCCTCGCGCTAATTCTTGTTTGGGGTGTAACCGCAATTCTCACCGTGAGCGACGTCCTACCCAAGGGGGACCCTGCGAGGACGGATTTCAAAATCAAAATCCTGCATCAAGCCCCCTGGTTTAGGATTCCGTACCCATGTAGCTAAATAAATAAATTATAACAAAATCGGTGGGTACGGGGCAAAAATCGTTGCGAATTTGCAGTGAATTTGCAGCGAAATGACTCCCAAGTCGCTACGAGTTCGTATCGACTCGTAGCGAGTCGGCGGATATTTTCCTCTAAATTCGCTGCAAACTCACGATTTTTGCGCCGTGCCCAGTGGTCAATAACAGACATTGTATATAAATCGGATGATTTTAGTTCAATGGGGCTGGCCGACGGTGTCCATTGGTGCCGTGATTGGAGTTCTTTGTGGCGTGATGACTTCCACAATTGAGTCCATCGGAGATTATTATGCATGCGCGATTGTTGCGAGTAAGTACTTTGCAAACAAAATTACACGAGTGAAGTTATTCGAGTAATGCCGAATTTCAAAAAACTAATTCATTAGATTTTTACAACCATATAAACCCTTCATAATTACAGCGTTTAAAATATTAGTACGAAATAATTTGTACAACATGTACTGTGTTGGAAAAGAGATGTTAGATACAAGAGATGTTAGATGTTGTAAGTTGGGATTGTTAGGATACAAAATTGTAATACCTTTAAAATTATGAAATTAAATTTTCAGGATTTTAAGAAATCAAATGACGTGATTATTTACAGCTTGTACATAAACAATGAAAAATTACGCACTGGTTAACGCTAAGGATTTACAGAAAAGTGTACGAAACAAGTTTTTTACTTGATTTTTTTTTAATTTTCCCAGAAACTTCCGTTCCTCCCGCACATGCGATCAATCGTGGCATTTTCATGGAAGGTTTAGGCTGTGTTTTGAGCGGATTTTGGGGCTCGGGGAATGGATCGACCTCCTACGCCATGAATATTGGCACCATCGGGATTACGAAGGTCGCGTCGCGCCGAGTAATTGTGACCGCAGGCGCACTCATGATTATTTTCGGGATGGTGGGAAAAGTGGGGGCGCTCTTTGTGTTAATTCCTGACCCGATTTTGGGCGGTTTATTCGGCTACACGTTTCCCCTCGTGATCGCCGTCGCGATTGGAACTTTGTCCGAAGTTTGTTTAGAATCTAGTAGAAATATTTTCATCGTGGCGTTCTCAATTTTCGCAGGATTGGTGAGAAATTTATGAGGAATTTCAGTTATTTTTTTTAGCTGAGAAAATTAATTTTTAGCTTTGGTGTAAGACTTGTAATTATTTTTTTGCAAAAAAATCAGACAGTCTCCGAATGGGCGCAAGCTAATGCGACCGCAATTCAGACCGGGTCAGCCGAGATGGACAGTATATTCCAGATTTTGTTAAGGTATGATACGACATTGTAGAAGTAAATAGTTATGTAGTTCATTAATCATGGGACGCATTGATTTTAAGACAGAATGGTACAATTTCAACAAAATGCTTTATGCATAATTATTTAAAATATTAATATTTATTAAAACTAATTAAGATCTACTCCATTAACGCCTTTATAAGCTACTTCGGTTTCTCCAGGTACATATGTTTCATGTCAGCTTTCACTGACCTGGCAACTAGTGGCAACTATACTTTTTTAAGAATTTGACCCATGACGCGTGGAGTATTCGACGTAAATATTTTACAATTCCCAATATCCTGTGTTTGAAAACTTCCGTCTCACGACTGATGAACCATACACATGTTGAATTTATGTAAAGTTACTACAATTATTCTACTGATTTCTTACAAATTCCAGCACTGGAATGTTTGTTGGAGGTATTACTGGGTTCATTTTGGACAACACGGTTCCAGGTACGATTAGGTTTATTTTGTTCTGACACAACTTAACTTACACTCTACATACCTACCTTCCGTTAAAATAAATTTCTCGCTAAAAAAATCACGCAAACTCAGTCAAAAGTTCAGGAAAACTTTACAGTTCAACAGTTTCTGATAAAATTTCTTACAAGAAATATACAGTTCTACAAAGATAAAAAAAATCATACACAGTTTAATGTACAATTTTAAATTATACGCAGCGAAATTATGTACATAATTTACATATTTTGATGCACTCAAGACAAGCAGAGTGTTTATTTAGCATGGGAAGCCCAGAATGGGCATTGTGAGATTTATGCAAATGAACTGAGAATAATTAAATTTTCTGCAGACACCCAAACTGGCTTATCCCGTTATGGGTTTTAGATCGTTCATGGAATAATTTATTTACAACTTTTATAGGCACCCAAGCGGAACGTGGCTTAACGAAGCGGAAGTTGGCCGAGCAAGCCGCCATGATAAATAGCGATCCTACCTACGACATCCCATACGTCATGGGGTATATTAACAAGTAAGGAAATTAATTCATAATTCGCTCAGTTTTTTAAATGTCTACAATGTAAGGCTACAATGGAAAACTTTGCAAAGTGAAAGGCCCCTAAATCTCCATTACTTGAGAGATGCATTATTTAAATAAGTTCTTATTTAAATAATGCTTAAATAACGCTTGGAAATTATTTATTATTTAAAAATAAATAATTGTCCATAATTATTTATTATTTATTACTTAAATCTAAATAATTTCTGATCATTATTTATTATTTATTATTTAAATAATTTCCAATTGACGGTTTTTCTATTATTTAAATAATAGCCGTATTTAAATAATTTGTCAGCGCAAAAGTTGTCGTAATGTTGACAAAAACGCAACAGAACTGAATTTTTTCGAATAATAAGATTCAAATTGATGCGTTAAACGCTGAAGCGAGGAGATTTCGCCTTATTAAATTTGATAATTGTTTTGCCGTTTCGGGAAATTCCCCATTAACTGCATCATCTCAATACTAAATAATTATTTAAATTATTTATTTATTTATTTATTTAATTCTAAATAACCCAAAGTCTTATTTATTATTTATTATTTAAATGAAATTAAAAATTTGGTGGTTATTTATTATTTATTTATTAATTAAATAATTTTGGGAACGAAAATTATTTATTATTTATATTTAAATAATTCGTTCATTATTTAACGCAACTCTGGTATTTACTATGCAATTTTAATGTCGAAATTGCTGGAAACTAATGACGAAATATTAAATTTGGGAAGCAGAATTTCTGTAACTAATCAAAATTTAAGAATTTTTCCCATTGAAAATTTTCCATTGCAGCAGCGAGACATTTAAACCACCCTGTATAAAGATTTCGGTATTCATACATCAGTTTTTGTATGAGCGAATTTAAATGTCAAGGGCAAAATGGATGAGGCTACTTCCAATTTCTCCAACGTATGATCCCACCAGATTGTCTAGTATTTGCGGAAGGATACTTAGAAAGCGGGACGTCACAGGGGAAACGAGGGAAGAAGAATTATAGATAATTATGTAATTCAGTGAAAAATTGAAGCTCTAAATATGTATTAAATATTTGTACGTATAACTTAGACAAACTTCATTTTGTTATAAAACCTGACTTAATTTCGAGCTTAAATTCTATGCACGACAATGTTGAACGTTGTTAATACCCACATACATAAATACATGTAGGTCCTACATAAATAACCGCCAAGGTCCCGCATAAAAAGTCGGACGGTTCCAAGAACCCTCTTAACTACAAACTTGCACTCAACCAGAAAAATTACGACCGCCACCGCTATAATCGTGGCACATAAACCGAGGAAATAAAACAGCGAGGGAAACGCTTCCTCCTGAGAATTAGAGATTTGAACCTTTGACTCTTTAAAATTGGAACTGAATTGAAGAAATAACTTTCTCGTAAAATCTGGTCCAAAATACTCCATTCGTTTTAGCCTCAAAATCATCGTTTGGAGTGCTTTCCATCTCCCAGATATTCCCGATTCCATTAATCTTACAATACATTTGGATATCCTCGGCCAAATGTGATTGTTACTGCCGAGTCCCACCAAAGTGTATTGGAATGGTAGATCGTGCAGGTTGTCGAGGACTAACCGCTTCCCAAGTATTTGTACTGGTGATGTGAGTCGGAGCAAGTAATACAGGGGTGGGACAGAAGAAGGAGCCACTTGAATTTTAGGGGTGGCGTGTGATGCACAGTCGCGGCATTTTCAAAATTTGCATATGTCATACCCAGATAGTTAACGAAAATTTAGCACTATTCGGATTTTCCCTACGGTTAAAAATGCCCCTACAGCACCCCCCAGAGTGCGAGGCACGCATAAAAGTGTTTTCCAAAGACATATTGAGCCAGAGAGCGATTGTTAGAAAATTTGCTGCAAATGGATTTATCGTCGATCGAAAGTACGTTTCTAATGTACTTAAAAACGTTGGAATCAAGCGGAGGGAAAAAGCGGTTAGAGCTCCACCCCCACGGAAAGGATACCCAAGATCCGCTTGAACCAAAAAGTTTATCCGGAAAATCAATTTTTCGCCAAAACGGTAAATCCACCAACTAAAAGTTGCATGGCGAAAATGTTAAACGTTAGTAGGAGAACATTTCTAGAGTCATTCACAATGACCTACAGCAAGTGACTCGTAGGAAATCCCGAGATCATGCTCTCATCCCAACTTATTTCTCACAAAATATCAGCCTACACGAAGGATTTTAAAAAAAGTTTGGGTATAACAATTATTCCTACTATAGAAACTCTCGTTAGTTCCTCTGATATCAATCCGATGTTTTTTTTTGGATTCGAGTACTTAAAACAGAGCCTTCTTGAAAGGAAAACGCGTGCGTTTTGATGCACTTTGGAAAAGTGTTCAGGACGAGTGGTGCAGAATCACTCTGAAAATTGTTTCAAAGGTCATGACTGGTTGGAAAAAGCGACTGAGGCTCGTTAGATAAACTAAAGGGCTTCACACTGAACCAATTACCAAACTTCACAAACGAATAATAAGGCCGGAATAAATTTAGGCAAAGTGGCTCCTTCTTCTGTCCACCCCTCTGTATTTCGGGTCAGCAATTGCAAACATGGCACGCTTTGGAATTTCCCCCTCTTTGGTCGCGATGATTTCAGAGTTAGAAATATTACTCGCAATCGCGGAAAAATTATACATTCTGGACGAAACGAAGATCAGCCGGTGAACAAAGGTTGACAGAAGGGTGGCAAATTTGTAACTTGCCGAATATGACGAATCTGTTTTAATAGATGCAAGTAACGGTGGTAGTAGAAATTGTATGAGCGGTTGACGCTTGCCTGACCTGACAAGTGTGTACGTTGTAATTATGGTGAGATTAGATTTCACTAAATCTTCCAAAGTTTTGGGAACCACGGGAGCAGGTATAACCGTCAAATCGGACGTGACAGATCCATGGTACAAATTTTGCATGAGAACGTAGCACCCCAAAAACCAAACTAAAAGCATTGAAACAGCTTTTCTCTGTTTCTGTAATGAGTTCACAATAGCAGTACCATACTGACCGAGCAAAATTGACGTAAATGCTATTAAATCACGGAGGAATCGGGCACTATATTCTGCCCTGTTTTTAGGCAGATTGCGCATACCCCGGTTAAATTGAACTATTATATTTATTACAATGCAAGAAGCTAAAATTAAGGTACACGTCCAACGATCAAATGGGGTAAAAATGTTCCCAAAACTACTTTCCGCAGTCGGGAATTGTGTGACTATGGAAAATCTATAGTTTTCAGAAGTTAGGGTCAGTACAATTTTGTCTCTGTCTGCGTAATGTTTCTCAAAAAAACCATCGTCTAAAAGAGCATAGAAATGGACGATCGACATTATGCTTTTAATGCCAGAGTTTTCCAATCTATTTATGTGGACGGTGGTGAAATTGAGTTGCTTTCCTATCAAATAACTCAGACAATATTTGAAAGACTCAGTGGCGTGGAATTTCCTTAGGCTCGGGCCACAGGAAGTGGTTTTGTCAAAATTTAAAATAAAGCTGCTAAGGAATCTCGTAACGAAAATATTTCCCTGCATGTTGATCTCGTTTTTTTGATGCCAGATTGAGTTGATCATATCGATCGAAAAAATGTAGCTGTTAACAAATGTAAAATTGTGACAGGGAAAACAAGGAATGAAAATGCCATCTTTGCCGAAAAATATTATCTTGGACGTCCTGATAACGTATGAAAGCTTACTCTGGAAGCGCAACGAGTGAGACAGAAAGACAAAGATATATTCCGTGTTTGAGTCGATAGAAGTATTGAATTCGACAGAATATAATGACGGTTTTGAAATCAATAATATTTGTGAAAGAAGGGATCTCTTCATCCGGTAAGGGTTTTGCATGAAAGCTGTGTTGTTTGGTGGAGGATTGAAATTTCGTATAATTTTTACACTGCGATGATACAAAAGGGGTATGAAATTTTGTAGTCTAGATTCCCAACTCTCCTCCTCCCCGCTGACCAGGATGAAATGGAGGTCAAAATTGGCTGCGGCTAAAGTGAACCTAATTCCGAGACCAAAGATGATAAGTGGTATCGAGAATGGAAACATTTTTTAATGAGACAGCTATGTAGATAAGTATGTATGTATACTCTTAGCAAAACGGTATTGAATCATTACCAAACGGAGTGCATGTATGACTTAACCGGAGCGGTGATAAGGGGCAACACCGCATAGTGAAAAATATACACCGTTGTGGTGATGAAAACTCACCACTTGGAATCAAACTATTACCAACCCGGGGAGAAATTATCACCAAATCAATACCATCGCGGAGTGTATATATGACTTCACCACTTTGCTAAGAGTGATACAATTTTTGTAACTTCCGATTTTTGTGGGTCGTTATGATTGTCGAATGTGACTAATGTGTTGGCGTCAATATGATGGTGACTGCACGAAGAAAATATGTTAGGATGTGACATCAGTATATATGCATCGAATTGAAAAATCAATAGAGCGACCGAATAACATGCACTCTTAGAAATGTGGCGTAGTAACGTATGTATGAAGGTATGAAGATAAGGATTTCTCGGCATTAAATTTTCCATTAATTCATAGGTGGTAACATTTGAGCACTTGGTGAAAATAATTGGGTGTGGTTGGGCGTGGAAATTATTTGGTGCGAAAATCGTCCGCCTGGAAAATATGGGTATGGTGGTGAAATTGTGGAAGTTGATGTGTGCAGAAATACGGACAGCGGTGAAAATTGGTTACAGGTATGGTATCACCGAGCTATTCATTGCCGTCAGGTTTTAGGCAAACATTTGCGATTATGTACGACATTGACTTTTTAGAGTGTTCCATAAGTTGGATGATGAACATGCACTTTGTGGTATTAGAAGAAAATTAAATTCGTCATGTACATGTAGGTAGATGAAGTGGCAAAGGTTGAAGTGGGCATTAATGAGTTTTGCTTAAGTGTTGGTTTCGTGATACCTGTGTTTTCGTGACTTTCTTGGTTCCACCAAACACGATTTCGAACCACTTTAACATATCCGTTTCTGTTATGTAGCGAAATTTTGTGAACAATCTTAGGAAAACGGTGTCAAATTAAGACAGGTCACAGTACCGATGCTTATGATATGAATAGTACCAGCATGACAATCACTAGCATTCTAGTTTAGTAATATGATGGTAATGAGAACTGTACTATTCATACACACACTATCTACTACCAATCCGGTAAGAAGATATTATCAAGTCAATTCTACTCACAGATCATGACTCTACTATGCACAGAGTACACTCTAAATAAATTTAATCTGCTCCATGAGAGGTGCGATTTATCCAACGTTGTTCAGTTATCCCTCAACCTTGCATGAGTTAATTTTACACAATCCTTAGTTGTATCATCGCAAATTTTACTAACTTTATTTGAATTAATCTACACATTAATACTTGTCTCTTCCAGACTTTTACGGTGTCTCTAAATTTAAATATGTATAAGTTTTACCGTAACCACGCAATTTATTGGGTGCTATGAATAAAAAGTAGTAAATGCTTTTACTTCACAAAATTCAAGTAAAAGGTCACCTTAGTATGAATAAAAATTTAGCAAATACTTTTACTTTTTAGCAAAAGTACATACTTAAATTTCCATGACTTTTACTTAGCAAAAAGTAAATGCTCAGGCTTCGTATGAATAAACACAAGTAAAAGCTTCGAAAACGAAGTAAACTGTGAAGTTGCTATACCCCGAGCTTCAAGGTTTACTTTTTTTTAAATTCTAAGCCATTTCATTAATTTTTTAGATTGTTTTTTTGACAATTCTATACTGTAATTGATTTTAGAAAATATTATGACCAAGTTGCCAATTTTTAGGCAGTTTTGGACACCGAACTTTTGACGCCCCAAATGTCCAAAAGTGTCCAAATTAGAAAATGGGGCAAAATGTTAGCAGTTCTTTATTAACGACTTTTTTGCAAATCTATGCACATATAATCGTATGTAATCTCCTATTAATTTTGAGCATTTTGGTGTGCAAACTGAAGCACTGATTTTTTAAATTCCAGACTTATGAGTGGATTTTCGAACCCGATATTCTCAAATTGCTATTGACCCATCGGGATGAATAGCAATTTTTTAAATGTAATGTAACTTAGAGCAAATTTAAACATAAATTAAGCTGAAGATATGGAAATTTTGAAGCGATTACGCAACTCGATTTTAAAAGAATCCCGTCTCGCTCTATTAAAATACATTCGCTCTGTAACCGCTTA